ATGAAGACTTATCCACTAAAGCTTTTATAAATGACTGATAAAAATCAAAAACGAAATCTCTAAGAGCTTAATATTGCGATGTTTAAGATTTTAGTCCATTTGCGTTAGGATGACATGTTCGAAAAGTGCTGCACAGATTATGATACAGTAAACAGTAATGGGACCTTCTAAAAGCTGACAGAGTTGATGTTATAAATAAGGCAGCCTAGCTTTACTGACGGACAGACTGACATACTATTATTTTATATTTGTTGACGTTCAAAAGTACAAATTATGGTTTAATTGAAGTAAATGCTTTTTAGTTTGAGTTTGAAAGGGAGAAGGGCAGATAAGGCAAATGGATTCCACGCCTTTTTAAATTTCACGATTATATTAATATCATAGATGTTTAAACTACGTTGTCTTTCATCACCTAACATTTAAAGTCATATATTTTGACAACATAAGGAACGACCACAAAAATATGGAGACACGATGGTGGGGCATTTCTATCAGTAAAATTGTCATTTATTTATTAACACTGCCTGACATTACTTGTCCACTAATAACCTTTATGTCACAAAATCATCTTTCCCGACATTTCAACCAAGTTGGGCAGATCGAAATATTATGACAATGACTAACGCAAATGGACTTCGGAACAGACCAAAAACTAAACTAAAAAGAAGCACCTACCTTAAAACCACTAGAAAAGGGATTGGAATTTCAAGGACTGGTGAACGAAGTCGAGATGTCCTTGAAAATTTGACGCTATGGTCTTTTGAAGTAATGTTCGTCTACTCGTTTGGCGAGAGCTACCAGGGACTCGTGTTTTCGGACAGTGTCTGCTAACTTACGGCATGGTAACCTCGTGGTGATGATTGTGAAGACGTGCCCGAAGACCAGGGCATCCAGTTCTGTTGGTCTGCGGATAGAAAATGTGATTTTAGTGGAAATGTTATTGGGTATATAGGGTGTCAATAAGAGACGTAGTAAAGAAAGGTTTATGCTCGATATCATCAAGATTCTAAATTTTAAGGAACTATTATATCGGAATAACTATTACGTAAAATATAAATAAAAACTGCTGAGTTTCCAATCGCATTGACGTCAATGCAATAGGAAACCATTGCAGTTTTCGTAAGCTATTATAATTGTTTCTCGGGCAGATTGGATTGGACTCCCGTCGGGCATAGTAACTTGTAATACGTGTCAGTTATTCAATATATCTCTTTTAGCGTATTAATTTTTTTAAAACCATCTTCACACCCGTTCCGTAACAGAACCCCTAAGCTAAGAGATATTTAACGATACTTTGGATTTTATCAACCTATACGTGACACCTAACAGTACAAAAGGGTTATTTCAGGTACTATGTCACGCTAAGTAAGAGATGGTTAAGGGGTAGTTAGTGAAAATGGTAATTAGTATTTTAATAAGGTCCCTAGAATACGTATTTACTGCTAACTAATAGTCTTAACCAGGTTATTTAAATTAATTTCTATTTCTATGTAGCTACCAACACTAAACAGACTCGAAAAGTTACCTAATAGACCTCTACGAGTTAAAACCGGTCTTACCAATGAACGGTCTATTGGTCTCATGAGAATGGTCTCATGAGACCAGTAGAATTTTTAGATACTTAACAAATTACTTTACTAAAACGATATACATACAATAACAGAAAAATAATAAGTTCAACTCACATTTTGATTTGCCATTCTGCATAAATACATATAAGGAGTTATTGGCCAATCCACAGATAAATGGTAATAAAACTGCTTATTGAAAAACATAAATATACAAATAATTTAATAAAACACCAAAGCTATTAGCTAACTGAAACGCATTTTATATTACAATCTTGTATTCCTAACGTATAATTGCAAAATTTACTCAAAATTTCGGAATCAAACATAGGTACGTAATTTTGCCCCATTTTTGTGATATCGAAACCAGGACCTCGTGCTCATTTATCGAAAATGACCACAAATAAGTTGTCATCTATATTATTATAACAGCTTAGTTTCAATAGGAAAAAATGACACATTAGACCATTTTTTTAACGAGAAAGTCAAAGGTTTCAATTCAAAATACCCAGAACCGCGCCCTACAACATCCAAATATTTTTACATATTTAAAATTACTATTAAAACTAAAATAATAAACATATCTAATAATTTATCCTTCAAAATATTATATTAAAATACAAGTTGTTTCTTCATCACAATAAAATAATACGCAATTTCGGGTGAGTAGTTTCGTTCAACCCAAAACGGCGTAGTGTTGTCGTGGCGTCTAATCATAATCAATATCGACGATTGTATTGTAGTTATAAACCGCATTTCGCTGGCGTAGATACTTCAATAGACTCTCAACACTTATTTCTCTATTGGTTGGTATTTTGAGCGTCATTTTAGAATCTGTAAGTACGTAAGTTGATGTTAATCCGAAACGGCGTAGTGATACGAAAACTCGGGATGCTTTTATAAATGGGTGCGTAGCATAAGCAGAATCGGCTTTTAATGGGGGTGCTTCAATTCAATTTACAACTACTTGCCCTACTTACTAGTGGATTTATGATATTTTCTGGAGAAAAACTATTTGAATGAATGAAATGAAAATTAAGACTAAACTTCATACATTGCACAATTTATTGGCAGAGTTACACAGCGTGATGTAAAAAAATCTTGTCTTATATTGCCCACGGTGATTTTGAAATACGTATCATATCCCTTCTAGCATACAAGTACAACTCTATTTTAATCTTGTCAGTGATAAAAAATAAACAAAATAAACTAGCCTGTAGAAGAAGGAGTACGTGCAAATGGGGATTTATCCGAGGAATCACCAGTAGACTCTTTATCACTACTACAGATAAAATCACCAACGTCTTTGGGCATCCCATCACTGCCACTAGGAAAACAAAATTTAAAAGAAAATATATAATAAAAATAGAGAAAAGATGAATAATATTGGCTCAATAGTCTCAATATTATTGAGACTATTTATTTGGGGACGTAATTCTGTCTTTTTGTCCGGTTAACGCCCGAATACTGGAAGGTACGTATACTCATTTTAGTTTCACTTATATCGTGGCATCTCTGTCATTTTAAAAAGAATTTGTAGTAACATAACTATGTTTAACCGCGAATTTGACGTTCCAAACGTGCCTTATTAGGTATTAATTTAATAAATACTTTGACTTAGCCTTTCAGTATTCGGGCGGAAGCGCATAAGGCCTGCTAAGGATCTTAGTTAATGTTAAGAGAGTGAATTGGGATGTTGGCAGGGTATGAAAATTAAAAATCTAATTAGTCCGTAAGTTAGGTAATAAAAAATATTAGACACGTATTTTTATCGTATAATAAAACAATACTTAGATAAAACGAATCAAAGTTTAGGGGTGGGGGCTAAAACGTCATTTCTACGTATAAAATGTAAAAGTATAAAACATAGAAGTGACGTCACGCGACATTTCAAATCAATATATCGTCGAAAGTATTCGTTTCTGTAAAAAAATACAAAATACGTGTGTAATGATTTTAAATAATCTACCAGACGGACATTAAAATAAAAATTAGGCATCTACCCTATTGAAGTATCATAACATTTATTATTTTCCGCGTGTAGAGCATTCGCCACCCTTATATTTCACGGTATATCAAAGTACTTAGGTAAGTGAAATGATGAAACTGTTTCATCATCACAGTCATTATCATCAACAGCTATCATGTACGTCTACTGCTAGACTATGGACCCCCTCTACATCAGAGGCTTTGCAATAATCTCAAAGCTTAGCCGGTTGAAAAGGTTCAGATTTATCAGAGAGCATTGTTACCCATTCTGTTTTCTATACCGTCCGATAAACGTATGCTCCGCGCAGATGCCACGCAAACGTCGCGATGTCAGGGCGAAAGTAAATGAATACCGATTCAAGTACCCTTGTGAAGGCCCTCTTATTACAAATATAACAAAAGTTTTATTAAATTACCTGTTTATACCATCACCGAGTACAATCTTCCGCGATACGGAATCATAATTCAAAGCCCTTTTATCCGCTTTGTTATCAATCTGAGCATAATCATCATCATTAACTATAAGCATTCCATCATCGAGAGTAATTTCCAACGAATTAGTCGTATCAGTTAAATCGTTCTCTTCAATCGTATCCAAATAATCGTTAACTTTCACATCGACAGAATCGATGTTCGACTCAACCATCATTTTAGGGTAAGAGATGAATTCGAAAGCGTCATTTTTCTCGTAATCCGAATCGATTTTCTCTGGAAATTCATCGATTACAACCTCGTCAACTTTATCGAGTACGTCGTCGATTATTTCGTTAATCGATTTGCTTACTTCGGCATTGACAGGGGCGTTATCGATTTTCGTTGAGGACTTGTTTTTAGATGCCTCATCTCCTTCTTTAGATGTCATTATTATTATTTGCTTAGATGCAAATGGTTTGAAGCCTGCATTGAAAGATTTCCTTGTACAGGGACCAGCAAGCCAAGCTACTCCTGTTTATTAGATTTTCAACTTTATAATATGGATATAAAGTCGGAAATCCAACAAACAATATTGATAATTGAAGTTGACCAGCTGGTCATTGTACATGCCCTATAAACTTAATGGCTTTTGTGACATCATTCCTATGTTACAAAAATATTTATTTAAATACCTCATTGGTTACATACTCCAAAAGTAATGGACAGAGGACCCCGATAGCACCTTTTAAACTGTCAAACACCGCGAGGACACCGGTGATCGCAACCAATTGTTCTTTAACCCTTTGAGTACCGTCGTTATAGACACAATTAAAGAACAATAGGTTGCGGTCACCGGTGTCCTCGCGGTGTTTGACAGTTTAATTGTGTCTATAATGACGGTACTCAAAGGGTTAATAAATTAGAGCCATTATAAGAAGGGACATTTTTTGTCAAATAATCTCAAAGATTGAAAATCAGATAATTAACATTGCTCCTCCACAATATCACTCCGAAAAATTCTACTACCAACTAAACCAATCTAAAATGGACCTTACACAAACAAATATGTCTTACCAAAAACGTCTTATTGCTATTGGAATGAATGGTATCTTTGCTTGCATTCCGAATGCTCATACGAGAGCGTTTCATTCTCGTGCTTCGTTCAGACGCGGTGCGTTCAGGGGAGAGTCGTCGTCGAGTTATTTGGAAGGCTTGGGTCACTAGGTACTCTTCCTGGGTCTGGTAAAAGGGGGAGGGGGGATAAGGAAGCAAGCAAGTAATAAAGGAAAAGTAATGTGTGGGATTTGATAAGACACTACTTAGAAACATGTTTTTATACAAAAGCCGTAGCCGTGCTATATACACAGATTTGCTTTTTACTAAAATATATTTTTTTTAACTTTGCCCCCACTATGATTTTCTCCTGTGTCGTGGGTGCGTTTACAAACATACAAGTTCACGTACACATGACACCCAGACCCGGAACAACAATCTGTGGATCACACAAAGAGTTGTTCCGTGCGGGAATCGAACCTGCGAATTTTTTATACCTGTTAAATAATCATTATATATAAAATGCCTAAAAATAATTATCATGTTAAATCAATTTTCAAAAAGAAAACGTCCTAAATACCTCCTATAAAAACAATACAATTTGAACCTTACCGTCAAAGTCATATGAGTTACATTGATACATCTCAACAAGTGCCTTAGTAAGGAGCTGGTGATGCGCTTGATTAGAGGACCTGCCCTGGCTCCTGACGACATTAGGATCGCTCTCATATGTCCAAACATTAGGGCGTCTAGAGGAGTTGGGCTGGGAAGGGAATTAGGAATAGGAGTTAGCAATTAGGGTGTTCTGGTACGGAGGCCAGCTGGTCAGTCGTTTTCCGTCAAATTTCTTTATTACAGCTTAAACTTTATTGTATTGACATAAAGTCGAAAATCCAATAAATTTCACAGATTAAAGTAGTACAGGATGATTCGTAAACACTGCTTTTTTGAGGGAGTAATTTGGAAATCATAAAATGATTCCTCCCGTCCTGGGTGAGGCGGGAGCGTCAGACTCTTACTGACTAAAAACCACCCCGTTCCTACTCCATTGAGCCGGAGCCCCGGTTACCCACAAGGTCGTCTACAGCCCCACATAGATAATATTTTATTTTACTTAAACTATTTTAAATACCCATTTTGAGTAGATTTATACAGAATGGCAATTAAACATAATAATACAACAGTTATTCGTAAATATTTAGAACTAGCTTTTACCCACGGCTTCGCTCGCGTCACAAAAGGATAAAAAGTAGCCTATGTGACATATACCAATACACACAGCGCCATCTATACCAATACTTTTGTTTTTCCTCGGGAATATCAAATTTTTCCGGGTTAAAAAGTACCCTATTATTTAATCCGGACTTATAACTTTACGTCTACAAAAATTCAAAGCAATCGGTTTAGTAGTTACGGCGTGAAAGTGGAACAAACAAACTCACTTTCCGATTTATAATATTATATTAGTAAGGATAAAATAAATAAAAACACTCACGAGTTCCCGAAGAAGTAATCTTTGTCACCCAGCCGCTGACTTAACGAGTTGCAGCACTGTTCCACCTGGAATAATTAATAATATCAAGTACTAGCTACTTCCGCGCGGTTTCACACACTCTGCTCAGCTCCTATTGGTCGCAGCGTAATGTTTTATAGCCTATAGCCATCCTCGATAAATGGACTATCCAACACAAAAAGAATTATTCAATTCGAATCAGTAGTTTCGGAGATTAGCGCGTTCAAACAAACAAACAAAAAAACAAACTCTTCATCTTTATAATATTAGTATAGAATAGTTTTGAACATATATTTTACGAAATACTTTTTTATCGAATAGGAAGCAAACGAACGGATTACCTAATGGTAAGTGATCAGCGCCACCTATGGACACCGGCAACACCAGAGGATATGATATGAGATTTTAAGAACTCTAAAATTATAATCTATATATATAAAAGAAAGTCGTGTTAGTTACACCACTTATAACTCAAGAACGGCAGAATAGATTTGGCTGAAAATTGGTAGGGAGGTACCTTAGAGCCAGGAGACGGACATAGGATACTTTTTTTAACCATAAATCACGAACGGGAATGGGAATAACCGAGATTGCGCGTATAAAGTCGCGGGCAGAAGCTAGTTATTACTAAAACAAACAATAAAAGTGACTAAAATACTCACATCAGCGAGAACCTGGTCGATGGTCTTTTCATACCAGTGCAGTGCCTTCAGCCGTTTGATGACAGCATTCCTCTTAGCTCTGGTCTGTAACCACCCTAGCGGCCAGGGGTACACTGAGGAGTTCCTCACTTTGGTCACTGCGTTAAAGGTCTCGCTGTCCACCCAGGATATGTAGAGCTGTAGAGATATATGATTGGTACAATAATATAACTTTATAACAAAAAAGGTTATTTTCAATAGGTCTTCTGAAAGGATAACAAAACAAAAACAGAATAAAGTCAAAGTCAAAATCAGTTATTTCAATTAGACTAGGAAGGCACTTTTGAACGTCAAAACAAAACAAAATTTAAATAATAAGAAAAAATGTCTGTCTGTAGGTCAGTCCTCTAGTGAAGTTATTTGCTCGTTCCAAGGTGTAGATTCCTATGGAGAAGAACGAGCAAGAAACTCCATAGGTTACTCTTTTTCTATCGTGTTCACAATACAATTGTCGGTTACAGTAACTACATATTATACTAAGAAATATGATGACAGTTATATCAATAATAGAAATTCAATTATTTCTGCTATCATTGAAACAATTAGATACAGAGACCGGAAGAACTGACGCCCAACTCCCCCCTCCCCCCCCCCCATAATTCACCATCCCCAAATCTGCTAATCTCTAACCCCCAGAAGGCCAGCAACGCACTTTTGCTACCATCAAGTGATCCATGCCTAGCCGCACTAAGCATTAGATATCACAACTTCATTAAAAAACTAGAATCGAGACCTAATATTAAGTAACTTAATTTTGAAATTCTCAGTAATAGCACCACTGAAATATGTACAATATTTAGCAAATATCTAAAAACCAAATTACCAATTTGCCTTACAACAAACACCCTGTACTACTCATAAAAGAACACCCTTATTTAAAAAAACATATCTACTTACCTCAGCGTTAACGAGTACATTGGTGATCAAGCTCATGTAGGCTCTCATTTCCGCCTTCTCCTCGGTGCTCAGTTTTCCACAAAGTGACACGCCCTTGTTCGCAGCAAACTGGACTATTGGCTCCAATTCTGACACGACAAAAGCCCCGCATTTGATGAAAGGGACCCGCCCCGAAGGTGACATGAACTCTGCATTCCATCGCATCTCCACCTCAAATGGTAGATTGCACATCTGTAGAGAAAAAATATCATCATTAGGTGGATAGACTGCCTCGTTGGCCGAGTGGTCGCAAGTGCGACTGCCGGGCAAGGGGTCTCGGGTTCGATTCCCGGGTCGGGCAAAGTATTAGTGGGTTTTTAAAATAATTCTCAGTAGTAGCACTGAGTGTGGAATTGTGCCCGGTATATGGCAATAGGCACACCCCCTATTACATGGGACTCATAAAATAAATAGTGAAAAGTGGGTGTTACATTGTACAGTGACATAATGTACATCTCTGCCTACCCCATCGGGGATAATAGGCGTGATGTTATGTTATGTCATTAGGTGGATAACGTCCACTGCTGAACAAAAGGTTTCAGAAGGGGGTTTACCATTTCCCACAGTGTTTAAAAAGGGTCTTCAACTATATGGGACTTGTAAAATAAATATTTGAGACTTATCCTTTATATTTATTTTTTTTATTTTATTATTATATAAAGGTGAAGCGTCTGTTTGTTGTTTATTTGTTAACAACGCGCTAATCTTGGGAACCACTGGTCCAATTTGAATAATTCTTTTTGTGTTGGATAGTATGGACTACTATTTATCGAGGAAGGCTATAGGCTATAAAAAATAACGCTACGATCAATGGGAGCCGAACAGAGTGGGTGAAACTGTGCGGAAGTAGCTAGTTGGCTTATAAAAGGGACTTTTTGGAGACCGCATCAACCTCCCAAGACTGTTACAACTCAAGAGTTGGACCAGTGCAATCCTTTTAGATCATTCCTGGAGATTCTGGTGCACCTGTACACTATCTACGGTAGACACAATCATGCAAACGCTGAAACATTGAAAAGGAATAGCTTATTCATTTGCCTCCCTCGGTTTTTTTTATTGTAGGATGGTAGAATGACCTAAAAGGATTGCACTGGGTTCAGTCGAAAAGTACAACGGAATTGTGGCAACAATATGAAGTCATCAGTTTATATGCCCATTTAGGAAAACTCTACCGACCTTCAAGAACGCCTGTACAGCCAGGCAGCTGGCGTTGTCTGGCAGCAGTATTTGCTCCACTTCGTAAGGTTGGAACAGTTTCACATTGTCCGGCCATGGTTCTTGAGCTGGAAAAAATGATAAGTGATTTAGAAAGAACATTATATACAAGGCTTAGGTTTTTGGGAACACAGTGCATTAACAATAATTAACTTTTAAGTAAAACTCCAGTTAAAATTATATTTAATTGGAAACATGTCTGCATACTCATATTAAAATTCAACGATATAAATTATCCAGTTTCATATGGACTTTATTTTAGAATCTAAATTAATAATGCTTTTAAAATTGTATTGTACTAGTACAATACAATTGTGTAGGTTATTATATTAGGTATTATATTACAATTATGTTTATTCATGTTTATCTCTGTAATATGTAAGTGTATCTATTTTATTTTCTCTATTAAATAGTTGCTTGCTTCTTGCGCACACCATTAACTCTTCTCTGCATCACCCAAAGGTCACACTGGGAGAAAATTCCTGCGGCATTAAGTCCACCTTATGTACATTTTGTGCATGAAGCTTAAATAAATAAATACATAATGCTCAGAGGCAGATTAAACCTAGAGAGCGACGTAGGCGATCACCTCATATGCTCCCCTAAGTTTTAGGCTATTTTTTGAGAGGGGAAAATCATCGAATAACTTCTCCCGCCTTGGGTTAGGCAAGAGGGAGTATCAGACTCTTACTGACTAAAAACCACCCCGTTCCTACTCCTGCTGTTCGATCCGGAGCCCCGGCAACCCGTTAGGCCTTCTGCGGCTCCGTATCGGGCACCAGCTCTACGGGGTTCCATCTGTGGTGGTCTGATGACGCTTTGAGCGCGTGCGTCTCGCAGCGCCACTCTTTAAACTAGCGCCCTTGGCACTTACCTAGTTTGCAATACGAATAATACGGCTCTGGTTATAGTATATTTTACAGTGTAAGAGAAATATTATAATAACTCATTTTCTAATCACGGAATTAAGTTTTTTTTTACATAGAATGAGGGACAGGACTAACGGTCATCGGATCACACCTAATGGTGTAATCCGATTGTAAGCGATCAGCGCCGGTAATCGACATGAGCGACACCAGAAGAGTATCAACAGCGTTGCTGGCGTTATGAAAAAGAGGACAATCTTGTGTTTAACCCGTCGAGCGTCCGCGTTCCTTATGATCCAACGGGTGCACACGTGACATTTGGAGAAAGAAAGAAAATGCATTTATTTGGCCATTGGCACACGAAAACAAGGATCATTACAATAGAAATAAAACAAATACAGTCAAAATAAAAACAAAACATTAATAATAGATTTTATATAAAAAGAGAAAGCAGCATGGAGCATTTATTCTTATGATCCACCGGGTGCTCATAAGGACGCTCGAGGGGTTAAGAAAATTAAAAAAACACCTATAGGTAGTGTTTTACTAAAAATTAATTAGTATAATAATCATACCTATTATCCAGCTAAGCGCACATGGCTACTTTCAAATCAAACTTCAATTAATTTTAACAAATATGCGCCTATATTCAAATAATAATTAATTTTCGCATTCGCTTCAATCTAATATTTTAAAATCATTTCAATTCAATTTTTTTTTATTTTATTTTCGCAATTATTATAACAAGGTTCTTATACATACTCTGATATCTTGCAATAGCAGCCAGCTCCGAATCCTCAAAAATTATGCATTTTATTTTTACAATCATTTTGATTACACTCCAAACACAAAATCAGAAACAAAAAACCGAAAAGCTATTAAGCAAATCACTATTTAGGTAACATTTTTAAATTTGAATGCAAATGGAGAAATTAAGAGTACATAAATCATTTTAATGGTCGACGAGGTGAATGCTAGGCAGACGCGAAAGCACTGGAGTTCTACGGTGGGGTGCGTAAGCCCCGCCCATTTATCGATCCCGTCTAGCACACCTATAGCGCATACAAAGGACCTAAAAGCGAAATGCAACGAGCGTTCGGCTGTCTTCGGCTATTTCCGTCAACGTTCGTGTATCCTGGCCAATCAGCGCGCGGAAACTGGCCGACGCGAATCGTTATCGATTATACGCCTATAGTTGCAGATTATTTTAGTCTAGAGAGCCTCGATAGGGTTGCTGAGGAAAGCTAGGGGCGCTAGGGTTCCCAATTAAATTGTTAAAAGCTGTAATATAATTTTACTGTTAAACAGAATGTTAAATATTATTATACAGAACAACGTAGGTATTGTGGATTTGTGGATCAATGTTTATAATTTGAAAATGATACTTATGAATCTTTGGAGAAATTATAATAACACCAGAAGTAGTGTTTCTTTTACTAAAAATACTTTTTATTTTTCATTAGATGTTAAGTTTAGCAGCGTTTGGACGACCTGCTTCTGCGCAACATGTCACAGGATGAACATGCGCACAGATATACATATAACTGTTTGTGTGATGTGATCTACAAATTAGGAATCAGAGTTAAGGCGGTAATGTTGTGGTTGCGTGTAAGAGACACATGACTCATAAGACACGTCTCGTGACGCCTCATGAGACAAAAGACAGTTTTAATTAAAACCAATTTTTTATATTTTCTTTCCATGTCATACCTAAATATAATTTCCATAATTTAAATTCTGAATAATACAATTTTCCTTTTGAAATAAGTTAGCAACCCTAAGTAACAATTATGTTAGGTGGGGTCACAGTGCGCATGAGCCGTGTCGGGCGTATACGCGCGTTGCTAGCGCTCCCACGCGGCGGGTTATTGACGTACACGATGTATCTATTATTAGCTTATAATACAGAGATAATTGATATGTTTATTGTTCTACAGGAGAGCCATGTTTCGGCAAGTATGGGCCGGTTCGACCGGAGTGGTACCACGGCCTCACAAAAATCGGTGTGATATAACGCCCGCTATCCCCCACTCTCCGCTCCCCAACCACTTTTTTTAGTGTGGAAAATCCTCCGATAACTTCTCCCGCCTTGAGTGAGGCGAAGGGAGTGTAAGACTAAAAACCACCCCATTCCTACTTCTGCTCTTCGAGCCGGAGCCCCGGCAACCCGTTAGGGCCTCTGCGGCTCCGTATCCGCGTCACTCTAATGGGCCCCATCTGTGGTGATCTGATGGCGCTTTGTGACATCCTCCACCCCCTAATTCTCAATACCTTTTTTTTTAAGGGGGGAAAATCATCGAATGACTGCTCCCGCCTGGGTGAGGCGGAAGGGAGTGTCAGACTCTTACTGACTAAAAACCACCCCGTTCCTTCTCCTGCACGTCGAGCCGGAGCCCCGGTTACCCGTTAGGTTCTCCGCGACTCCGAATCGGCATCGGCCCTATTGGGCCCCATCTGTGGTGGTCTGATGGCTCTTTGAGGCGCGCGCGGAACGCGACGCGCCGTACGCTCGGGTCTGTTTCTGGTCGGACGGGGAGCCACCCATGCTCGCCATCCGCAGGCCCGCGCTTACGGTGGCCGGAGATCGTCTCGCGATCCCCGACGCCCGGTGTGTCCTTCGCAAATTCTCAATACCTGAAAGGCCAGCAACGCAGTTGTAACTCCTCTGGTGTTGCAAATGGCACCGATAGTTTACCTTCAGGTGATCCGTCTGCTCATTTACACACCTATGCAGCAAACAAATAAGATGTTTAGGCCGGTAACCGCCGAATCACCGAGTTACACGTGTGTTGCCATTTAAACTTTAGGGGATTACGGATGGGAGGGGAGGAAAGGGGGAAAGATTATATGAAGAGGGTATGAAGTGTTCAATTGTAGCTAATATGATATTCATATCATAATTAATATATCAGTCAGTCAATTAAAATATCAGTTTAGATTCATCTCTAAACTCATTTGTCTCTACTATTTATTTTTTTTAAGTGGGAAAATCATCGAATGACTGCTCTCGCCTGGATGAGGCGGGAGGAAGTGTCAGACTCTTACTGACTAAAAACCACCCCGTTCCTACTTCTGCCCTTCGAACCGGAGCCCCGGTAACCCGTTAGGTTATCCGCGACTCCGAATCGGCATCAGCCTGTTGGGCCCCATCCGTGGTGGTCTGATGGCTCTTTGAGACGCGCACGGAACGCGACGCGCCGTACGCTCGGGTCTGGTTCTGGTCGTCTCTACTACTAAGAATTGAGACTCTCACTAGTTTTGTTAGCCACAACTCGATTAATGAGTCATCAACCCTTAAGACCAATGTGTTTTAATTTTATCTCTTACTCAATTCTTGAAACCATTGCCAATTAATTAGTGTGAAGTCTTGAACAATAATTATTTTAAATAGTAATGATATCATTGTGCCATTTTAGTGTGATGACATCACACCTTTTGCATCTCCTGGGGTAGGCAGAGATGTAATCAAGAGCAAGTTTGTAGACTTACAAGAATTCATGTAAATGCTGACATTTACATGAATTATTGGAGAAAATCTCTACTAGACTTGGGAGCAAAGAGCCACTAGTGTTTTTCCTTTCTTAATAAATATTATCTCACTAGTTGACCCGGAAAACTATGTACCGCCTAAGTTTCTTTTTTCTTTCGTTTCCACGAATATTTTAAGACCACAATTAGGCAAATCGGTTCAGCAGTTCTCGAGTTCTAGCAAGACATGAACGAAAATTCATTTATATTCGTGTAGATATAATTGGCTCCCAAGTGCAGTTTCAAGTCACAAAGGACTCTTATTTAGCAGCAGTGTATGTAGTGCAGCACGAAATATAGTAAACAGAGTGTTCAGATGCAGCGACGTCACGCAGCCTACTGACATCGCTATGTCCACTCACTCTGCTCATGCAGAAGAGTCCCAATGCAACTTAGAGTTTTCCCACAATTTCATGTGAGTAAACCAGTATTCTCAATAGTTAGTATTATACAAAGTCAAAGTCAAAATCGTTTATTTCAATTAGACCAGGAAGGCACTTTTGAACGTCAACAATACAAGTATACAAGAAATATTGTTTCGTATTCTATTTTAAAGACTTTCTAGATTTACTTAACCTATTTTAAAACTGATTGGAAACTTACAGTGGACCGGAAATTGCAATTGCTGGCAACCACTTAACCAATCAGGGAATGCTCCAATATACAATGTAGAATGATTCTAGAACCACTTAGGAAACAATTTATGAGTGCATATTTTGTGTGTGTCTGTGTTTGTTTATTGTTATATTTTAATGTTAACAACTAAAAAAAGCCAGGAATTTTCGGTCCGTGTACATAAATAGATTTTTTTATTGAATAATTTATTCATTTGTGATCACTGTTGTTAACCCAATACTGTTGTTACATTTTAGATGTGTGATCTATGAAAATAAATGCTAAAGAAAGCCAGTTTTTATGAGTTATTTTTTTTATCATATCTTTGTTTTTCTGTGCCCATTGAAATATTGTAATATAAGTTTACAAATTCATTTTAAATTTAAAATACAATAATAAGAACATTTCGTTTTATTTCTTATGGAAAAGTATATAAAATGTGTTAATAAAAACTACAACACAGGATAAAAACAGATCTCTATTAAAATAGAGGTGTCAGGGATGGCAAATCTAAATGTTTGATGTATATAGTTAATGGTCATAGTTAATTTTATAAAACCACACTTAAAATATAGGTTGTAGTGGACTTAAAACACAGAAAGAGGTTATTTGTAAACAAAAACAATAAAACCAGTAGTAAGTGAACACTGGACTGTAAGACGCAACATATTTATACAGCAAAACACTTAAACAGAAAAGAAATCTTAAAAACACACACAAATCAGGAATATTTTTACCAATTCAAAAGGTTCATCAACTCTGAATTTCATTGTTAAACGAAGTTTTAAACTGAATCCAAGTCCCAAATGATGTAACACCAGTTACATATAACACTATTTAGAACATCCCGAAGCTAAAATTAAATATTTCTGTCAAACAAAACAATAACCATTTTGCAAACAAAATTATATAACTTGTTCACAATAAAAAATGTTAAATATTTCGTCAAATAACTTACCGTTGAGCTGTGTGATGATGGAGTCCGTTAAATGGAATTCCGGCATTATATTTTAGGTAATACACAAATTAACAAGAGGAAGAATAAACTCAATGGTATTGAAAATAAAAATAAATGCTCACAAAATCCGCAAAATCGATAATCAGAATCACATTTGAATGACAGTAGTGAGTTAGTGACACTTGCATGCAGTGTTGTCAACCTCAAAAAACAATAGCTGTCAAACAAAGCTGTTCTTTTACTTTCTTTTTATTTAATAGTTTAGTTGTAGTTAATTTTAAGTTGTAAATATTTATGTAGTTATATAAATTATGATATTTAAATAAAAATCAAACAAATAATTTTATTATTTGTAAATAAAAGAGAAATAAACTTTTATTTCCAAATACATGCATATAACATATAACATAATTTATATGTATAACTACATGAATATTTACAACTTAAAATTAACTACAACTAAACTATTAAATAAAACGAAAGTAAAAAACAAAAAGAAAACAACAAAAATTATAAAAAGAGAACAATTATTGAATAATATTAGCAAGTATTTATTTTATTTTAGTCTATATTATTTTTGTATGTAAAGATTATTTACCATAACATGTCTCGTCATTTTACAAAGTACATAGAAAAGTAACATGTGAAAACTAAATAAATTACAGAAATCTTATTATCTTATACTATTTACATAAAACGGATGAATTTGTTTTTTTTGTTCGTTTGTCTGACCGCTCTAATCTCCGTAACTACAAGTCCGATTTGAATAATTATTTTTGTGTCGGATAGCGCATTTATCGAGGATGGCTATAGGCTATAAAACATCACGCTAGGACCAATAAGAGTTGAGCAGAGCGTGTGAAACCGCGCGGAAGTAGCTAGTATTATAATATAATATGAAACGCATTAAGACAACAATAGTCTGTTGATGTCCATTGCAGTTTATTCATTAAATTAATATTGTTAAGATATGGCACATCTACACAGTATTATTTTAGTTATATTCGATTCACTTTATTAATTGTTTACCATACTTGTTTTGTACATTGTTTAATTATATAAAAATATAATAAGAAGTAGCCCACGAGTAACGGAAGAAATCCAAGCTACTGACGATCAGGGTTCCAGACTGATTACTTATTTTTTTTACGTTTGTACGCCTGATCTGATAAAATTATTTTTATACTGTGCTAATACGTCGCGTGTCCTTGCTAGTTCTACAACAGGGCTGTCTAAGCTATATACCGTCGCGGGCTAATTAAATTTCTTACAAAAGCTGGAGGGCCAGAAAATGTTTTCAGTTGTATAATGACGTGAAAAATGTTTTCAATTGTATTCTTTACTCACAGAGAAAACTTGTAGACAAATCATACACTTATTATTGGTGTTGCACATAAGATAAAGGTGTTGCAAATTGCGATTAAAGCGGCGGCAGGCCATTCATGTGGCCTACGACATGTTTTAATCGGCCTCAAACCAAACCTCAAGGCTATTGCCTTGGGCTGCATGCAGCCCGCGGGGCTTTGTTTGGACAGCCCTATTCTACAATATTAAAAACAAATTAAAGAAAAGTTTACCCATTTGGATGAGTTTAGTAATGTTGTCACCGACACATGCAACATTATTGTTGAGTAAATTGATTCCAAAAGCGAATTCTTCGTCGTCGAAAAAATCAAATGGACGATCATTAGGTTCTGCTTTATTGGCTTCCACTGAAAGATTAGACTTCGAGTGTATAAGGTCCATATACTTGTGAAATATTGCTTCTCCCCTGCTGGGTGATGAAGACCGGGTTGTTGTCATAGATTTTGTTGATCTTGATGACCAGTCTCCCGAAACTGTGTGTCGTGGTTCTCTTACGTTACAAGTACTCATTTTGGAATTTATTAACGTTCAGTTAGCCTAAAATAATTGTATCAAAATAAATGATGGATGAGTGAAACGATCTTGACACAAGTTTTTTGACGTTATTGTTTCTGCGAAAGAAGTTCATAAGAGATTTTGTTAAAATACTTTTGCGTATACTTTTAAAAAACGCGGGTTGCTTGTCGCTTGCTTAGCAATGTCGCTAGACATAAAAATATATGCATTTTGAATATTTTCCGGTTATTATTTAACCGATATTTAAATATTTTCCTCACATTTATTGTATTTTTTGTCAATGGCTATTAAATTCAAATTAAACTATGGTTCTATATTTAAATATTATTCACGCATTTTTCACAATTTTTTAGTTTACAAAACTTTATCCTCTTATTAGCAATGGCAACACTGAACTAGTCATTTTGTTTGTTGAATTTGTTGAAGTTTCACGTTTATTTACGTGTAAATCGAACAAAAATACATGTTAAAGCCGTAATATAGAAACAAAACAATTTATTAACAATGGCAGATGTGTTAGATATTGAAAATTCGGAAGAATTTGAAGTTGACGAGGATGGTGAACGTAAGTCATGTCATGTTTATTTTGGTCAATAATATTAGAATTTTAAACTTTTCAGCAATCTAATAACTTTCTCTTGGCAATATTAGACGTAATTATTGGCACGCATGTTGTATTAACCGAGTAAATTAATTAATAAAAACAGTAATTTTTAGGTTAACTTTCTACTTCAAACAGTTGAATGAACCGTATTTAGGCTTGAAATTCCGTTATACGTAACATGTATCTACTCTCTAAATATTTTAGTAACGTTTACGATGTGTTTCAGTTGTTATTTTCATGTTTTTCAGAGGGAATCGCTCGCTTGAAAGAGAAGGCGCGAAAACGTAAAGGTAGAGGTTTTGGTAGCGAAGCCGGTAGCGGAGGCGCCTCAGAGAGAGGGAACAGGGGGAGGTAATGTAAACATAACATTAGAGAAATTGAAAAATTGCCTCGTTAGCCGAGTGATCGCATTGGGTTCGATTCCTTGGTCCGGCAAAGTATTACTGGGGTTTTTAAAACTTCTCAGTAGTAGCACGGAGTTCGGAATTGTGCCCGGTGTATGGCAATAGTCTCACTCCTTATTACATGACTCATAATAGAAATGGTGTAAAATGGGTGTTCTATTGTAGGTACAGTGGTATTAACTCGTCGAGTACCGTATTTATAGACACAATTAAAGAACAATAGGTTGCGGTCACCGGTGACCGCTTGGTGTTTGACAGTTTAAGTGCTGTAACATGCACATCTGCCTACCCCTTTGGAGATAAAAATCGTGATGTTATGTCATTTTTGAAAGAGTAAACTCAAGTGGAAGGCATCCACTTCTATTCAGAAGTTTCAGACAACAGCCAGAAGATCAAACAAGGCCAATAAAAATGTCCATTAATTCATTAATCATGTGGAACTAACTTTTGAATGTAACTATTCCTGTATAAAAATCCTATGAGAATAATTATTTGAAAGATTAGCTACTTCTGCGCAGTTTGACACACTCTGCTCAGCTCCTATTGGTCGTAGTTTGATGTTTTATAGCCTATAGCCATCCTCGATAAATGTGCTATACAACACAAAAAGCATTATTCAAATCAGACTTGTAGTTACAGAGATTAGCGCGTTCAAACAAAAAAAGAAACTCATCCATTTTATATTATAGTATAAGATTTAGGAATCATCATCTCATACCCTATTGCTTGCCATCCTTGACTGACTTGTTTATCACGTCTACTTCACAGATTCAAAGATATCATTGGTTTTCCGGTCACCATTCTATATGTATAAATAAATCAATAACTCATATTTAATTGTATCAAAATATTATTGTAGATACGACAGCTTGGCTCCTGAAGGTGATGGCAATACTCCAGGCCCTCAGAGGTCAGTGGAGGGCTGGATACTGTTCGTCAGCAATGTCCATGAAGAGGCCCAGGAGGAGGATATACAGGTAATAATATGGACATTACTTGTAAATGTATGGTTATGAATAATCCTCAACAATTTTTCATACAAAAGTAGTCTTTAAACATTGGAAATGAGGTTTCTAATGTAGTTAGTGTAGAGTGGTCACCGATGACCGCTTGGGGATTGATCAGTTAACCTCTTGTCTGTCGAAACGCAGATCTATGTATCAGTTTCTATTGTGTTAAAGTTAAAGAACCTATTTTCAAGGATAAATATTATATTTTATTATAAGACTAGCTACTTCTGCGCAGTTTGACACACTCTGCTCAGCTCCTATTGATCGTAGCGTGATGTTTTATAGCCTATAGCCATCTTCGATAAATGTGCTATCCAACACAAAAAGAATTATTCAAATCAGACTTGTAGTTACGGAGATTAGCGCGTTCAAACTAACAAAAAAACAAACTCTTCCGCTTTATATAATAGTATAGTATTATAGATTATACTTTTCGTAAAGAGTAACAAAACGAACACGAACAGTATACATCCAATCAACTTTTAATTTTAATAGTTCTTAATGCATATTTTTATCCCATTACAGAATCAATTCTCAGAGTTTGGCGAGATCAAGAACATTCACTTGAACTTGGACAGACGCACTGGTTTCCTCAAAGGTTACGCTCTTGTGGAGTATGAGACCTACAAACAGGCTGCGGTGAGTAGAGATAATTTTATTTTTAACAAGGTCCAATTATAACTATACTCTCTACTATACAAACTTAAAATATTAATATGTATTTAAAGAGGCCTATTGCGCCTTTTGCTGTATAGTTAATTGAGCACTTCCTAGTTAATATTTTTTAGGTCTCTTTAACAATATTACTTAAAAGTTATTATCAGCAACAACATACTAACCAGATAGACGATATATTAAAGAAGCGCCATGTACGCCATTATTGTCGCATGCATCAGACCTTTATTTTGTTACTTTTGTGTATTTTAAATGTTATATGTTTGTGATGTGGCAGTACTCCTTCGAATAAATAAATAAATAAGGGCCAAATTGAAAGTACTCTTAACGGACGAGCATGCATGAAAACACTGGTGACTGTTGATGAAGCGAAAGATGTATGTATGAATCATAGCAATTGGCGTTCCATTGTCTCTGTCTACCCCCATGGGAGACAGGCGTGAAATTAAGTATGTAACAGTCAATAATAGTCCAATACTGAACTGTGGATCTATGGACCTTGACTGTAGAAGAGACGCTCGCCTGAGATGGGCGATGGGACGATTTGCCACACGCGGCAGGCAGGTTTTAGACCCTTCACAATTCAAAAGGAGTACATTTTGGAATACTGCCGCCCAGTCTTTGTTGAATGTGTAGTCTATTCGTTTAGACCACAGGAAAAGCAAGATAATAGTTTGTTCTAAAATTTTTTTTTGTAACAGAGTGCGCGCGAGGCTCTGGACGGCGCAGACATCTTAGGCCAGCCGATATCAGTTGACTGGTGCTTCGTCAAGGGACCAACTAAAGGACACAAGAAGAGGCGATAGAACATATTATTAATATAAGCTCTAATTATCTACATTGCTTTTTATTTTATTCGTATGAGATTTTCTGGAATATGACGTAAAAGAACACTGAAATTTTAATCAACAAAAAGGTTTTGAATTTCTAAGTCTATGAAGTCTTTGAACCATTAAAAAATTACGATTAACGAACGATTTATCAATATCAAATTACAGTTATGTTAACAATGGCAATGGTTGCTAAATCTGAAAGTTATAGTAAATCACGTAAAGCTCAATTTGCGACTACCGTTCAAAAAATGTGACATAAATTGGTCGTTTATTTGTGTGAGTTATTAGCGTGTGTTGCATGGCCCAATAAAGTATTTTTATTGGTAATTATTGATTCGTGTATGTAATGATTTTTGAAAAGAAATAAGCGACTAAAATACTGCCAACTTATTTGTTCTGGTGATCGATTCAGGAACTAATCAAAGTTCGAACAAAATGTTTGTGAAGAACTCCTTTTTCGATACTAGCGTCACTTGGATTTGTCGGAACTGAACAATTTAAGTTGGTCGTAGTTTGTTTACAGTGTTACGAATCGCACTTTCTCTTTGTATATTTTTATATATTATCGTATTTTGGTGGCGGTATTAATAGGTACGTGCGATAATAAAATGAGGTAGACAAGGATTATTGCGATTCTAGATGCCAATGTGACGTAACGTCTATTGGCCAATATCATTTTTACACGACTGTAGGAAGGGTATTGTTACCAATGTCAAGACACAGTTAACTTTGGGTGACTTTGTGCATCACTAGCGCCACTTGGAGAGCGGAAAATTGTGAAAAGAGTAATGGAATCGCCGTTTTACATTGGGTTTTATTGAATGTACTAAAGTGCTTTTCGGAACACTGTAACCTCTTAGTCTTGAACGTTTCTTAATTCTAGATACATAATTATATTTCTCACTAATATAATGTAAGTTTCCTTTTTTAAATTGCGTTTTTATTACCCACTACTCATTATAACTCTGGTTTCCAAATAACAACACAAGATAATTATAAAAAGACATTTATTACAATAACTGACAGTAATTTACTTCATATGAATCATGTGGGCGAGCGACCAATCATGTTTCAGTTCTGCTAGGTCCTCAATACGCACTCCTGCGCTGGTGACCACGCCCAGCTGGTAGCGTTGGAATGCGCGGGCGTCGCGGTAGAAGAGAACTTCCATACATTTGCGCACTAAAGCTCTGTGGGAGAGACGTTAAATGTTAATATTGATATTATTTACTACTATATCTATCCCCTAGTACATGGGACTCATAACATAAATAGTGTTAAGTGGGTGTTACATTGTACAGTGGCATTTAGTGCCGTAATGTGCACCTCTGCCTGGGCCTGCGGACGGCGAGCATGGGTGGCTCCCCGTCCGATCAGAAACAGACCCGAGCGTACGGCGCGTCGCGTTCCGCGCGCGCCTAAAAAGAGCCATCAGACTACCACAGATGGGGCCCAATAGGGCCGATGCCGATTCCGAGTCGCGGAGAACCTAACGGGTAACCGGGGCTCCGGCTCGACGTGCAGGAGAAGGAACGGGGTGGTTTTTAGTCAGTAAGAGTCTGACACTCCCTTCCGCCTCACCCAGGCGAGAGCAGAAATTAGATGATTTCCCCCCCTTAAAAAAAAAATGCACCTCTGCCTACCTATTCGGGGATAAAAGGCGTGATGTCATGTTATATTTATCAAAAATTAGGTAACCCTTACTCTTATGAGGAGCAAAAGGAAAGTATGCCCTATACATTTCTTGGGCTCCTTGATTGAAAGGGTTTGATTTCTGATTCAATGAGTTATTGGGAGTTTTATCGCTCTCTTTCATATCTGTCCGAGTAGGCTCACCTACTATATGGGGCTTCATAAGATTACTTGAACAGTAAGTATTTATTACATTACGCCTTTAAATTCATTCCAGGACCAAAAGGCGCGATGTTATGTTATCATTAATAAAAAAGGTATCTGCTTTTGTTTATTTCAAAAACAAAAATAATAATAAAGTAGCCAATACAATACAAATTTAAAAGAGGTCTCTTAAAATAACTTACTTAGCACCCTCCTCATCAAGGTTGCCCTTGTCGACTGCCTCACGTACGAGTGGAGTCGCCATGTAGGCTCCGAGACCAGTGGCGATGGCTGCATCTTCATACGCTGTGCCGAGCTTATCTACTGCACCGAGGAATGGTTCGCCATCCTAGAAAAATAATAAAAGTTTTTATAACTTTTTGTCTATGCGAGCATGGACAATATTCATGTTTTTGGGTCCATATTTTTCATCTGGGGGCTTACTCTTGAATCCAATTCCGATCGGTCCACATTAGTATTGAGAAAATTTCGTACTCTTGAGTTGCAACACTAGCGCCCATTGCATCTGTATTGCGTGGAAATTGAATTAACTAAATGGTATAGAGTTTGGTTTTATATTCCGTACTCTGAATGCTATTTTATCAACTACGATAGGGGTTGTATAGTTTTGACATTGAATAATTATTGAGATTTTATTGGATTGAAATTGCATTGACATTGGTATTGGTTTGAAGTTGTTCTGCTGAAAAATTCTGTGTAATCCACCAATTGTTTTGGGGTCTAAGTGTGATACGCACATTACACCATGCATGTGTTTGTAGCAGTATTACTAGACAAATCCATGTCACAGGAGAAAACTATAGTGTGGGAATTGACCCACAACAGTCGCGACACAGGAGAAAGTGTCAGTGTAAGTAAAAAAAGTAAAATATATTAGTACCTGAATACCAGCAACAACGTAGTTGCTCCACAAGGGGTCCATCTTGCTGCGCTTATTGTACAGCACTCTGGTCAGCCAGCAGTGCAGGGAGCGAGGTTTCAACAACAGACCATCTCCAATGCACTGCTCATCAATACTATGAACATGAATAAATATTTTTTGTAGTCTTATACTAGTTGCTAGCTACTTGCTAATCTCCATAACTACAAGTCTGATTTGAATAATTCTTTTAGTGTTGGATAGCACATTTATCGAGGATGGCTATAGGCTACAAAACATTACTCTAGGATCAAAAGGACCCAGCAGAGCGGGTGCAACCGCGCGGAAGTAGCTGGTACTACTATATTAAGCTGAAGAGTTTGTTTTGTTTGTTTGTTTGAATGCGCTAATCACTGGAACTACCAGTCGAATTTGAATTACATTTTTTGTGTTGGATAGTCCATTTATCGAGGAAGGTTATAGGCTACAAAACATCACGCTACGATCAAAAGGAGTCGAGCAGAGCGGGTGCAACCGCGCGGAAGTAGCTAGTCGGTTATAAAACTTGTGAAGATTAGAAATACTTCTGACAAAACAAAGATATTTTGTAATTACAGAATGTTAAAAAAATTATGATAATATCCTTCTTAAGTATTTGCCTCTTGTAGTTATTGTGAGCTGTGATTTACCATTAATTTCAAAATGATGGCTGCTAGACTCATTTACAGCATGTGTGCTTTTGTTGCATATACTAATACCAATGAACTTATTGGTTGTAAATAAAATGAGAAGCATAGTCTAGCAAACAACATCATATATTAAACAATTTTTCAAAGTTTTTCCACAGTGCATGACTTTACAAAATAAGAAAATTTAGACTACTTACATTTTCTGTTCAATAATATCCTTCAAGTATTGGTAGTCAGCATAATCGCCACGTTACCCAACAGGATCAGATCGTTGACTTTCATGATACGAGGACAGTCCCGGAACCTGGCTAGAGTGCCGTATGATCCGAGGGTGTCTGCTGCGATCACACAACCCTTGTCAAACTTGACTCCAATAACTGTTGTGGTTGTTGTAATTGGGGTTGCCGAACTGAAATAAAGAATTTAATTTAGTGACAACACATGAAATACCTATATCCCCTATCACAAAATGGAATGGAAGGCGAAATATTTTAGCAATATCGGTCAGTGGGTCTCTTAAACTATCAAACACCAAGCGGTCACTGGTGACCGCAACCTATTGTTCTTTAATTGTGTCTATAATGATGGTACTCAACGAGTTAAGGGCGGATTTCCAAGTAAGTTAGAATCAAAATGAGGACAAGAAGATGGTAGTTTGAATGATGGTATGATCATACAGGTTTTGATAGTTTAGAGTCTATGATTAAACTTGTACAATATCTTATAGCAAGGTATTTTAATCATAATAAGGATTGCTATCGTCTTATAAGAACATCTTTGTGTTGCAATAGCTTTTCTATGACAAAATTTCCAAGGGTACAAAAGATGACTTGTGTATTTCAATAATTACTTTTATAATTCAAGAAGACATTTTAAGATGATGAAATAACGTCTGTAGAATTCAGATATCTAGAAAATTACCTTAAATTATACTTACTGGGCTTTAAACTCCTGGACTGGACGAGTGCTTGGTCCAAATCCTGATGAATTTGCTGGGAAGTTGTAGAAGGCGCCCGGGGCTGGCCCATTCTGCCATAAGGGCGCAGGATTCATCATATCCCCTATAAATGCCATTATGACTACAAATTACTAAATTTACACGTTTAAAATACTTTTTGTAAAGATTTTGTGAAACTCACACAATGACAAGCCGCAACGAATTTGACAGAAAATGACAAACAGTTTTTGATTACAGTCCATTACATGCTTTGTAAATTAAAATACTGGTCGATCAAAATAAATTTATTTTATAAATGATCAAAAATATTTTTCTGAATAATTTTACAAAAATGTTTTAATTAAAAAAATTATACAGATACCAAGAGCAGAAAATATTTGGCGTCAAACGAAACGCTGTCGTTCGTTCAGAAATATTCATTTTTATGCCGAGTTCGTTGTAAAAAGAGTAAAAATTTAGTATAGTAAAAAATATTTACCCTAAAGCAGCAACTTATATGTAATATATTTTATTTTGCTATTTGATTTGCTTTTGCTTTTACTTAGCAAAAGCTTCCATTTAATTAGTAGAAAACAAATATTGTTTGCATCTTGTAGCTAACTTCGTATGGGTCCGAATCGTCTTTACCGGTATCTTATTTCTAAACGAATCTTTACCTTCGATGTGTTGCTAAATTCGCGTTCTTTCGATTTCCTCTCAAAAATTGACACAACAAAATGTCTAAAAGAGGTTCGTGAAATTATAAAATATCCATAATAATCATGTTATTTTGTGTTAAAATAATTTAGAAACAATGTGTAAATCGAAACTAGTATTATATTCATTTGGGAGCCACGTATATTTTTGTTGTTCACTTTGTATTTCGTGAGTAGAAGTGTTGTGATGAAAAATGTATGAAGTGTGGTTTTTCTGTTTTAAGGACGTGGTGGTTCCGCGGGAGCGAAGTTCCGCATCTCATTGGGTCTCCCTGTGGGAGCTGTGATCAACTGCGCAGACAACACAGGTAGACACGAGTTTGTTTTATATTTCTAACATAACCTAAATGGGCACGTTTGATTGAACAACTAGTGATGATGTTCTATGGACACACTAAGTGTGTTGAATCATGATGATTTCTTCCTTGGCTGTGTCTGAAGTTGTTCAATTCTATCTGTATAACCTTGTAAATAACCTTGCTTGTCCAATGTTGGACAAACAAACAATCTTATGACTAGAATTTTGCCTCCAATTCAAGCCTAACTTCAATAAGTACGATTATCATTATCAAAACTCCATAAATTAAATCACGTGGTTCTATAAACTTTCCGAAACATGAACAACATACTCAAAACATAACCTTTCTTTTTCTACAGTCGGTTAAAAACATTGAAAGTACCTAGTTGATTTCATTTATAATACCTAATCTTCTACTAAAGTCTGGCTTACATTATCTATGGCATTGTATTTGAAGATTACAAGACCTAAATAATAGAACCCACAAGAAATTATAAACAAAACAAAGCTAAAATGAGGTTAATTTACATAATTAACTCACCAAAGAGTATTTACTACAGTTTTCATAGAACTTTTTACTCTAATATTGTTTTTTAAACTTTCAGGAGCCAAGAACCTTTATGTGATTGCCGTGCAAGGTATCAAGGGTCGCCTGAACAGGCTTCCCGCTGCCGGATCCGGAGACATGATCGTCGCCACTGTCAAGAAGGGTAAACCAGAACTCAGAAAAAAGGTATGTCCCGTTTGTTATTGAGGATTGTGTGTGTGAAAATGTGTGTGGGTTTTTGATTTTACATTAAATCACAACAAGAGTTTGGATAAGTATGATAAATACATACTATTAGGTATATAGTTCAGATTCGCTTGAACTATAAAATAATTTAACGATATTGTAGAATATAAGATATATCTAACTATTTTTACATTAGTAAGTAGTTGCCATGTGAAACTAATTATTTCTGATTGAGATTTTTGTGTTAAACACGGGAAGCCTTTTTATTGAATCCAAATGCAAACAGTCAAAACTGATCTGCATTCCAAATAATTGGGCTGACTGTGTATTAAAAGTAAATGATACAGATTTTCTTGAAAATTAGTTCATACAAAAGCAGTCTCTAATAATCGGGATTAAGGTCTATAATTGAATTACTGGTGACCACTTGGGGAATGATCAGTTAAAAAGATTTTAACTGAAGATGTCATCTCTTGTTGCATGTCACAGCTTGTATACCTTTATGATTTAATAATCTAAACTTTAATAATTGTTTTGGCAATGTAGTTACCATGATGAGACGCCATAGGGTTTCGCTAAATAATACTATCTGAACTGTGAATGCAGTCTGTGGATATACCTTGGCTGACTGAGTGATTCCATTGTCAACAATAGCTACTAATAAAAAAAATAATGGTTTGGTCTGTGATTTGATGATTTTAAAATGGCATTAATTCTTGTTAATACTAATTAAAAGCATGTACTAAAGCTAAACAGGTGAAAAAGTGTGAGTCAGCGTCCGGCGCTCTGATTGACCGGTTCTAATGAAACAACTATTCAGAGCGACAAATGCAGTCTTGTTTCGATTACTTTAATTAAACGTAACAAAATGTACTAAGGCCTTTGTAATACTGTTTTTTCATACTATAGTTGAATGAAGTCGCTTATAAATCATAATAGGAATAGGATTTTACATCAAATCTTAAAACACCGACTTATGCTTTCATTAACTTTACTTTCATGAAATATAGTTTTACAACACTAAATTCTAAATTCTTTCCCAGGTAATGCCTGCAGTGGTGATCAGACAACGGAAACCGTTCAGGAGGCGGGACGGGGTGTTTATATACTTCGAGGACAACGCGGGCGTCATAGTAAACAACAAAGGCGAGATGAAAGGGTCGGCTATCACAGGACCAGTGGCCAAAGAGTGCGCGGACCTGTGGCCCCGTATCGCTTCCAACGCCAGCTCCATAGCTTGAGTTAATATACGGTTAAGATAAACAAACTATTTGTGTTTTATTTTGTACCAAATATCCACCCTAATTTCACCCTGGTAGTAAAAGCTTGATTCACATTTGATGGAAGATGCATCTCGTATCCTCGGCCGCGAAATCCTTGAACCGACAAATGTATACAGACAAATAAAAATGGAGTGTGTTTTTATTGAAACAACCGCTTTTTACTACATGCCTATGAATAAACATACGATACCTATACCAAAATAACTTATTTCAAATTTTTGTCTGATTGTGTTGTCTAATATCTGAAATGGCTGGGCTGATTTTGACGGAACTTTTCCTGGCAGGTAGGCAACTGATGTACTAAGGAGTAACATGGCCTTTTAGTATTTTAGGAAATTGAAACAAAAGTTATATCCTATAACTCATATTCTACGCGTGCAACAGCTAGTATACATATAATAAAATATTAGATCTTTTATACAGAGGCAGACTGCTACCTAGAAAGTGCCCAAGGCTAGCACCTTGGTTCGCCGCTCGCGCCGCCATCTTGGAAAAATGGCGGTCAAAAACAGTTACAATATCTGTGCATTTTACGAGAAAACCGTTTTTTTTTTTTTTTTTCTTTCTTCTTTGGCAACCGAGTCTCCAATACGATGTTGTCGACTATACTGCCAGTGTCAGGTGGTGACGGCAGATTAATGAGCCGTCGAAGTTAACTTTGCGGTAGTTTTTAGTAGTTAGTAACTGAAAGGACAAAACAATTGGGTTAGTAAACATATAAATATTAACAACTATTTTACTGTATGAGTACAGGGGTGGAGAAAATAGTTGAGGGGACGTACACAATGCACAATACAGACACACAGATATATACGCCATTTACATAAATGTCACCGTCATAGTTTAATCTCATTATCATTAATGAATCTACATAAACAATGGATTAATTTAGGGGAAAAGTGAGTTAAAAGGAGGTGGAAATTAATTGGAAGTGGGATTTGAATACTGGGGAGTTTTTTATAAAGGTCAAAAGATTGGGAATTTAAAGGACACGAAAAAAATATATGGTCTACAGTTCCCTCGTCAAGGCCGCATTCACACAGCGAGCTGTCGCGGACACGGATCTTGTTGAGGAAGACTGGGCTACTACAATGGCCGAGTCTGAGTCTGCACAAGGATGAAACAGTGTGGCGGGGGAGCTTAGGGTACTTGGAAAACCAAGGCCTCCGCCGGATGCCGGGCTGGACACTTGCATAGTAGGCTCCTTTACTTTTGGAAGTGTCTACCCACACTGCAGCCCATGAGTCAAAAAGCTTGTGTTTGGTGTCGGCACGTACATCATACCCGTAAACCACGTAGTGTTGACGTTCGACATCGTTCGAGGCCGCAAATTTGGCTAAGGAATCCGCACACTCGTTACCGCATATGCCAGAGTGGCCAGGAATCCAAGCGATCTCGATGTTTAGGCCATCATTGAAGCAGGAAAGAAGAAGCGCCTTTATCTCAACAACCAAACTGCTATGGGTTCGGGAATGGAGCTGATCTTGGTTGAGGGACTGTAGGCTACTTCGGGAATCAGAAAAAATTACGGAATTTTTGAGGTTGTGAGCTCTAATAAATTTGAGTGATTCCAAAATGGCCGCACATTCACCCGTGAAGACTGATGCCTCCGGGGGACACTTGGAGAGGAGAGCGATCCTCGAATTTTGGAAGTACGCTGCCACTCCTGTACATCCGATTCGGGATAATTTAGACGCGTCTGTGTAGAAGGTATTCCAACCTCTCCAGTATTTGTCCAAGGCACGTTTGAACTCGTCTGCAGCATTCACGGTGGATTTCGAAATGCCAAGTCCTAAAATCAGTTTTGGTCTAAAGTGGATAACCTCATATACGGAAGAAAACACTGGGAGCACAGGATATTGACTTATGGGTGCAGAGAGGTTTTTAAGCTCCCTGTACCTAGCAATCACGGGAGGGACAGGTTTATTTTTCCAGTAGGAAGAGGAGCTGTAGGAACAGTGGATTTGATCTAGGATAGGGAGAAGGGGATGTGATGAGAGGGAGAGGACTTTTGATATGAAGCGGTCTGCAAGGTATTGTCTTCGAAGGTTGAGAGGAGGCTCCGCACATTCAACCTGAAGAGCGTTTATGGGGGATGATTTCATAGCTCCAATAATTATTCTAAGGCATTTGGCCTGAATGGAGTCTAGTTTTTTTAATGCTTCCTTATTGCAAGGTACAATAAGGAAGCAACAATAGTCCATTACACTTCTGACCAATGCATTGTATATGAGCTTCAATGAAGAGGGGTGAGCACCCCACCATACCCCAGCCAGAGCTCTGAGTATTGATACTGAGCGTTCACACCTTCCAACTACGGTGTTTATGTGGTCCACCCCAGACATCTTTGAGTCGAGATGAACTCCCAAAAATCTAGCGCTGCTTTTAATCGGGATAGTCTGACCGTCCATCTCTATACGAAGATCCGGAGTGCGTCGTTTGCGTGTAAAAATGACAGCCGAGCTTTTTGGGGCACTTAAAGATAACCCGTGATTGAGAAGCCATTGGTTTAATGAGGACAAAGAGACATTGATGGAGTGGGCGGCCTCTGTTATAGAGTTGCTGGTGACCATTAATGCGATATCGTCAGCGTACTGAAGGACATTACAGTTAAAATTTAAACAGGAGGGGAGGTCATAGGTATATATATTATAAAGGATAGGACTAAGGACTGACCCCTGAGGTAAACCTTTCCAGGAGGACCTCTGTACTGGGTTATCCTCAGGAGTTCTCAATTGGAGGGTACGATTGGAGAGGATACAGCCTATAATTCGGCAAATCCCACTCGGGATTCTCAGCTCTTGCAGTTTCTGCCTGAGAAGGGGTAAGAGGACAGAATCATAGGCCGCTGAGATGTCCAGGAAGACCGCGACCAGCGACTCCTGCCTGCTAAGGGCCAGTCGGATGGCTGACGTGAGGACACCCACACTGTCAGCCGTACCCAGACCTTTCCTGAAGCCAAACTGAGTCGCCGGAAGCAGCCTCCGGCTTTCAACCAACCATTCAAGGCGGTTTTTAATGAGGTGTTCAAAAGTTTTAATAAGTACGGACGATAGAGCGATAGGTCGGTAGGACTTATGATCACCAGGATCCTTGCCAGCTTTCAACAGCGGCATGATAACCTGAACCTTCCAAGTAGGAGGAATATAACCTGAAGTAAAGCAAAAATTGACCAAGTCAAGGTAGTATTGTTTTGTTTTAGTTCCTGCCTTAGATAGGAAGGAGTAAGGGAACCCATCAATCCCTGGTGCCGAGTCCTTGACATGGTTGAGTACCGTTTGGAGCTCTTCATAAGAGAACTCCAAATCGAGCGGTTCATGTGTTTCGTCATAGGGTCTCTGGCAGCACTCGTCTGCACTGGGAACATATACTGGAGCAATACTATTTAAAAATCTGTTACTTAGAGATTCGGGTAAAATCGAGATAGTGGGAGGTTTGGTGGAGCTCCTGAAATTTTTCACTCTCTGCCAAACTGTAGATACTGGTGTGGATGGGCTCAGAGAACCACAAAATCTTTGCCACCCTTGTCTCTTCTTTTTTTTGAACAATTTCCTTGACTTAGCCAAAATTCGTTTGAAATTTATGAGGTTTTCCAGGTTCATATCTTGGTTATATGTCTTTTCAGCCTCATTCCTAGCCCTTATCATGGCAGTGCATTCACTATCCCACCATGGCGGAGAAGGGATTTTGCCTTTCGGTGCGTTTTTCACCGGAAAGCAATCTTCTGCAGTGGAGGCTATCAGGTCCGAAAATTTTGAGAAACACTCCAAAGCATTCTCAGGATTAATTGGTGAAAGGAAGGAGATACGGTAGTCTAATAATTTTGAATAAAGATCCCAATCAGCTGCATTCAAACGATATTTTAATAGGGGGGGAAGGGGTTTATCTGGAATAGATTTTGACAGGTGTTTAATTATGATAGGATAGTGATCACTACCATAGGTCAAATTCAAACAACTCCAATTAAGCACGCCAGCCATAGCAGGCGAGCAGAAGGTCAAGTCCACACAGCTGTTTTTTGACCAAATGCAGACCTACGAGTAGGGCTGCCATCATTGATGACACACAATTCGAGTTCGTCCAGCATCTCTACTAATTCAATACCTACATTATCGCATACATCTGAACCCCATCTATAGTGGTGGCAGTTGAAGTCACCCATTACAAGCAATGGGCCACTTACCAAGGTTAGTAAACTTTTAATTAACATAATGTGATCAACATGAGGGTGAGCAATATAAAATACAAAAATATTTATGTCCTCAGCCTTAACAGCGACAACATTTATGTCATCGCCAACGAAGGGTAGAGGGATCTGGGTGAAGGGCACTTTGTTATTAATTAACAAAGCACACCCTCCATAACCATCAGATCTGTCATGTCTGACAACACTGAAACACGGGATCCCGAAATTAATATTCGGTTGAAGCCATGTCTCAGCAATGCCACAAATCGATGGTTTAAATTTATTTATCAAGTGGAGTAAGTCACTCTTCCTGGGAAGAGTACTCCTCACGTTCCACTGAAGCAGTGTTAGAGGATGGAATGTTACAGATGTAATCTAGAATTGTAGAAAGTTTGTGTGCGACGTGGTCAGGTATATTTTGGGCAGGGTTTGCTAGCACTGCCATGAGCATATCAGAGACTATATTTAGGATGTACTTGGAGCTACGAGTATTGGTTCCGGATTCCACAGGGAAAGCGCAACCATTTTTAGACGGGGAGAAAGAGTAGTCTTGGATAAGGGCCCGATGGGCCTTCTTATCATAGCTAGGAGAGAGGGGCGCATGTGATTTAGGCTTGAGTTGGACTGTTTTCTTGTAGGACACTCTTTGTTGGGATGGAGTTTTGTTGGGAGATGAAACTATAAGGTTGGCTGATCTTGAGACCTCAGCATAAGACCTTTTAACAGTTGGGAAAACTTGGCTTGCTTCCGTATATGAGATTGACTTTTCCGCCATCAATGCTTTGATGCTCTTCTGGCGACCCAACTCAGGACAAGCTTTGTCGTTAGCAAAGTGATTGCCATTGCAGTTGATACAATGGGCAATCTCGGCTGCAATCTGACATCCATCGCCTGGATGATCCTGGCCACATCTGAAACAACGTGGCTTGGAGCGGCAAAGGGTGCGGGTGTGCCCAAAACGACAACAATTATAACACTGTATGGTAGGGTATGAGTACAATTCCACCGGCAGTGCTGAATAAAAACAGAACACCTTTTTGGGTAGGGTTTGACCATCGAAAGTTAGCACTACAGTTTGCGTAGGCTTCCATTCAGTACCATTTGTAGATGTAACTCTTCTATTCATCCTCCTAGCTTTTATCACAGCCCCACACCCGGCGGGAACCCTGATATTACCAATTATTTCATCCTCTGTCCACTCGACAGGGACGTCCCTTACAATGCCCATACGAGTTATGTTAAACTGTGGGATCGAGGTCACGTAGTTTTGAGCCACCATACCGTTCACTAAGAAACTGTTTGCATCCTGGTGAGACACAAACTCGACCGATACTCTATTCCTACCCAGCCGTTTGACACCACCAATTTTAACATTGTTAATGTTGTGTTTCATTAAAAACATCCCAAACTTAACAGGGTGTAGCGTGGTTCCAGACGTCTGGGAATCCTTAAGGGATACATAAACTATATATGGGGGGTTATCCCTGGCCGTGTAGCACTGTCTACCGTGCGTACTTTTTGCCAATTTTGGGGGATTATTCTGGGAGATAGGTGGGGAGCCGGCATGTCGTTTCCTGCTGTTCGCGGTTTCTAACTCCATTGTTTCAGATTCCGGGGTGTTGGGAGGAAGGATAATCGTGAGGATTGATTCGGTTTCATATTGGGGGGATTTATCAGGAGGGTCAGGTGGTTTCTCCTCGTCCATTTCGGAGATTAGGATTAAAGAGGGAACAAGTGGTTAACTTCACTTACAACAACCAATACCTTATTAAAAATTACACACACAGATAAAAACACGACAACACAGGACTAAAAGGTTTTCAGTTCGCTTCACTATGAATAAAAACACTAAAACTAACAGACTAAACGTAGGAACGACAAAAGCACGTGCGTAACCTTCACCGCTACCAACAAGTCTCGAGAAAACCGTTGTTTTGACAAATAATTCCATACCTATTGTCTGACGAGCATGCATGAAAAGATTGATGACTGTTTACGAAGCGAAAGAGGCATGTAGGAATCTTAGCATTCGGCGTTTCATAGTCTCTGCCTACCCCCATGGGAGATAGCCATGAAGCTATGTATGTATTGTCTTTTAGGTAGATACATAATCCTGCCCACCTTTTACGGGATACAGGCTCTGGCTGACGAGCAGACGGATTATCTGACTGATGGTAAACAATAGGCGCCGCCGCCTCCCAAGGATACTCCCATACCAGCACTGGAGTCCAGAGAAGTTAAGAGTTCATTGTGAACTGGAACACTGTATACCTTGTTCGGGCAAATAAATGATTTTGATTAGATTTTTGGTCGTGATCTATTCTGATTGATTGTATTTTGCCGTCACTATATGCCATCATTTAAGCCTATTTCACATGGGGACAGAACAGTTTGGAATAGGACAAAGCACTCTTTGTCCCCGGATCCGAGTGAAATAGGCTGTAGTTAATAATGTAGCGCGTAGGCACAGTAGGCTCAACACATTAGCTAAGTTGTATGGAGTCAGTATCTATACTCGGAATTTTAATTCGATTCCAGATTTGACAATTTCAGTGTGGCAACGTTATGACAAGTACTAAATAGTGACGTTGCAAAATTATTCGATATGGAAATGCAATATTTCTGGATCGATTCTTCGCGTTTATAATTTTATTCTCGTAAACTAAGTATATCAGGAAATTAAATATTTCTGAACCGATAATTTAGTTTTGACGATTAATTAACGATCTGAGACTTTTCTGTTATAATTGTGTGTGAAATAAATAAAAAAATGTAATCATGAAGGAACATGACAAATAAAACAGATGGTATATTATGGTAATAAGTTATTTTATAAATTGTCGCCGTCATCGCTATCGCTATCCTGACACTTTCTGTTACATTTATTATAAAACACACACACTGATTGTTTATCGATTTTTGTGTGCATCACTACACTATTATATGTGGTATCATTATTTCAAAAAATGACAGTATCTATTGTCAAATCTGGAATCTAATTAAAATTCTGACTATATATAGTCAGTCGTTCAGTAACACCGAACCAAGAACACGCGTAGGTATTTTGACAACCTTTCTTCCAACTAACACACACACCTTACCGGCAAAATATATATTATATCCGTAGATTAATATAAGTACTGACGAATATATTAGTGTTCTGCTCCAAGTACAAAATATCATGAAAATTGTACCATAGATAAAGAAGGCCCTATGACTCGTCGTTAAGTTGAAGTGTAACAAAAGAAATTAAGTTTTTTCACGCTTATTTCCTCATAAGCAGACTGGTAGTAAAAACCATGAGGTACAAATAAAAAGGTCGAGCAAAAACCGTACCAAACCTAATTTCCTCAAAAAATGTGGAACGCTTCACGATTTTGCGTGTCATCCTTGCGCAGGGGCCATGCTAATCTTCTCTGTATCGTTCCAATTTTAGTATATGTACTGCCGAAGCAAGTACACTTGCTAGTGCAACATTATTGTACCACTCACAAACGCAATGAAAACTTTAATAGCGCGATGTAGAACCTCATACATTTAGAATGATTTGTATGGCGGTTGAGTATAGCGCCATCTACCGCTATATTATTAAAAATTTAGCGCCATCTAGTCAACCTGCTGTTAATTAAAAATGGCCTAGACTAGCCATAATAAAGTTATGATTAGCTTACGCTAACCCACCAGCTAAGTAAAGTGATGATATTCACTATGTGCTACCCGCTATACTCAGCTCCTATTGATCGTAGCGTGATGATTTATAGCCTATAGCTTTCCTCGCTACCAGTAGTTCCGGAGATTAGCGCGTTATTGCTGGAGTAGGAAGTAAGTAGGTGTGCTCTGCGTGGGCTAAGCGTCACCGTGTCCTCAGGGATATGATCGGCGATTTCTCGCGTACGGCTCTGGTTTAGACTATGGTACGGAGCTAAGGGGACTGGGATGCCTTCTCCTCCTTCTGTGAAGCAATCATTCTAGCTAAGGTGGAGGCGGAGCGCGTGAGGGAACGAAACTCCTCACGTCCCAGCCATCGCGAGAGAGACTCCGGGCGTCGGGGACCGCGAGACGATCTCCGGCCACTGTAAGCGCGGACCTGTGGACGGCGAGCACGGGTGGCTCGGCGCCCGATCAGAATCAGACCCGAGCGTACGGAGGAGGTACTCAAGGAGCCATCAGACCACCACAGATGGGGCCCAATAGGGCTGATGCCGATACGGTGCCGTGGAGGACTTACCGGGTTGCCGGGGTCCGGCTCGAAGAGCAGGAGTAGGAACGCGGTGGTTCTTAGTCAGTAAGAGTCGAACACTCCCTCTCGCCTCACCCGGCTGGGAGAACTCATTGGCTGATTTCCCCCCTTCAAAAAAGGCAGTAATGAAATGAAACAAGGTACTTTTCAATAAAACTGTGTATATTAAAGTACCTACTATAGTACAAGAGTATGCGTTCCGATCTGAATATCAACCAAACATTTACTCCTAAAATCAATTTACAACGAAATCAAATCCGTTCTTTTTTATAGTACCAATAAATTATTGCCATCTCTCTCTGATAACTGTCATAATTTAAAAGAAGTAAATAGTTTTCGTACTTGCACGTTAGAAATTATAAATTCGTCATTATGGATTTAAAAATAAAATTCATTCTCAAAGGATTGCCTTTTAGTATATCATCTAAATATATTTAAAATTAAATTTTCTACGTTTTTATTTAGAAAAAAATAGCCGTTATTTCAGATTAGTCGAATTAAGAATTTAGCAAAATTCAAATCATCGTCTTCGATCGGAAATCTTCGGAAATCGAGCGTCAACTTTGCTGATTTCAAAATCATTTTATTTTAAACTTTTTTAAAAGCAAACTGCGTAATTTCTTTTTTTTATCTTCTATTTTGTATAAACAACGGGTTTTTCGCACTACAGATGTGGTAAAGCAGGTAACAAATATTGTTTTTAAATCCATATTAATGGCGAGATGTATTTAAATAATTTTGAAGTGACTTGGTTATGAAATTCAGGCGGATTCAGCAGCTAATTTAGCTTGGGCTTGTTTCTGTTTGAGGCGGCGTTGACTTCTCTTCTTGGCTAAGGGGATGCTGCCTACTAACTTCCCTGATTTCTGTAGAGCTATTAGTTTCGCTGATTTGCCCTGGAAATATAAAAAAACAACATTTAAGACTATGTGTCTAAGATCCATGTGGTAAACGGGAAAAAATAACGAAAGACATAGTTGACTAATAAGGACTGCTATCCTGGAAAATTTCGATGATTACAATAAAAATAATAATCATTCACCAAGTCAGAATCGCCCACTTGTCATGCTGAGGGTGCGAGTTCGAAACCTATCAACGGCAAGTACCATGTGACTTTTTCCGAGTTATATGTACTTTCTAAGATTATTCAGACACCGCTGACAAACGGTGAAGGAAAAACATCGTGAGGAAACCTGGGCTTATAATTTCTAATTATAAGTTTCAAATCACCAACTCGCATTGAGCAAGCGTGGTGATTAATGCTCAAACCTTCTCGGTGTGAGAAGACGCAACGTTTATAGGCTGTTGATGAAGTCAGAAATTACATTTATAGACTATCAACTTTATTACAAAAGGAGACTGCCTAGTTGGTTGAGTGGTCGCAAGTGCGACTGACGAGCAAGGGGTCTCGGGTTCGATTCCAGGGTCGGGCAAAGTATTGCTGGTTTTTTTTTCAAAAAATCTCAGTAGTAGCACGGAGTCTGGAATTGTGCCCGGTATATGGCAATACGCTCACCTCCTATTACATGGAACTCATAACATAAATAGTGAAAAGTGGGTGTTACATTGTACAGTGGCATTAAGTGCCGTAATGTACACCTCTGCCTACCGCTTCGGGGATAAAAGGCGTGATGTTATGTATGTTTATGTTATGTTGAGTAAGGTTGGAAGTTGATAATTCGGTCATCAACTTCACGACTTATTTACCGTTTTTGTGTCGTACCCAGACGTAAAAAAAACTAGTCACATATTTCAATATATTAAATTACCTTCGTGCCAGATTTTGTTTGCTTGGCATTTTTGGGCGCCGTGTATAATACATTGATTCTTTTGTTGCCCAGCATGGAGTGGTGTTTTGACAACGCAAACTGAAACAATAGAATAGTTTAAAGTACACACGGCCACACATCAATCTATACAAAACCAGTTTATCCTGGTGTCGCGTCGCATCATCTTTCCGCAAATTTAACTAATAAATAAAAATCGCGGGTTACTCACGTGAATATAAGCGAACGTGAATATTCTCGAACCACAGAGGGGTTCTTCCTCATGAGCAGCGTGCGCGGTCGCCGCGATGTGGCGCAGTCTACTCGGCTGTAGGCTGCGCGACACCCCACTGTGGTTCGAAACTAGTAGAGCTTTTCTCAGTATATTTACGTAATCCGCAATTTTTAGTTAATTCAGTATGTCTCACGATAGTTATTATAAAAACACGGTGTATATTAATGAAAATTAAACCTCGATAAACATTTAATATGCTTCTGTCAAATATTAACGAGAGTGACATATTTCTATTTGCTACATACCTCATAGCTTGGTTCATTACTGAGCTCTAAATAAGCGATCGCCTTCTTCTTCCCCGGCAATTGTTTAGGAATACGGATGTCTATTATATGCTCGTTCATCTCCGAGAAGTGGTTTATAATCTGTAACAAAAAAACAATCCTTACTAATATTATAAATCGGAAAGTGAGTTTGTTTGTTTGTTCCACTTTCACGCCGTAACTACTAAACCCATTGCTTTGAATTTTTGCAGACGTAAAGTTATAAGTCCGGATTAAATAATAGGGTACTTTTTATCCCGGAAAAATTTGATATTCTAAAGGGAAAACGAAATTATTGGCATAGATGGCGCTGTGTGTATTGGTATTTGTCACATAGGCTACTTTTTATCCTTTTGTGACGCGAGCGAAGCCGCGGGTAAAAGCTAGTATACAATAAATGAAAAAGTAACTTTATCATGTTAATTAATTACAGAAACGTTTGGGTGTGCATATCTTTTACACCAAACTAGATGATTACTTTAGGATTTGTTGACTGAGTCGCCATAAGCATGGATGTTGAGTAAGGGGCTCTGTATTCATTTATTTCATCAACAATTTATTTAGACACAAACAGATCAAAATGTTAACTAAAATCGTGGGTTACTCACGTGAATATACTGAGAGTGAGTTGCGCGACATCGCCGCGACCGCGCACGCTGCTCATAAGGAAGAGCCCCTCTGTGGTATAAACTAGTAGAGCTTTTCTCAGTATATTCACGTGAGTAACCCGCGATTTTAGTTAATTTAGTATGTCTCACGGTAGTTATTATAAAAACAGATCATAGTGTAACATTTTTTCTGGATCAAGCAAAATAATATAGAAGTTTAAAAGTTTAAAAAAATTCTCAGTTACCAAGTAGTCTTCCACTGCAATAGAATTTAAATGGCAATAATTCTTTAATAAACTAAGTTTAAAAAAACTGACTTAAAGCCGCCCTTTTTTAGAAGACGGTCGATTAATTAATTTTTTAACCGACTTAAAAAACCCACAATATAGCAATTTAATATTATTTTAATAAAAGCAAACTATTTTCAGCAATATGAAGGAACAAAGGAAGGAAGGAGACGAACAAGAACAATCTATTGAAGAATGGAAGGTCTTCACTTACTTTATCCTTATCAACGTCCAGTGGCAAGTTCCCCAAGAACACCACATACCTCTTTGGACCCTTAACTTTTTTCTCAAGCTGTTCTTTCTTCTCCCCCTTATCTTTCTTTCCCTCTTTCTCCTTCGCTTTAGGGCTATCTTCTGTCTCTTTCTTTACTTTATCAACCTTTTCTTTTTCTATTTTTAATTTCTGCTTAATGTCAACCTTTTTTTCTTTTTCCTTTAGTGATGTTTTAAGGAGGTTGTATAGTATGCGGACTCTACGGAGTTCTGAGTCGGTCAAGTTTGCGTTGCCTTTGAGTATAGATTGTATTTTGTTGTGTATTATCTCTGGTACTAGGATGTTTGATGTCCCATGTAAGGAGTCTCTGATAGCTTGCCGGATGCGACCTGGAAAATAAAGAAAATTACATACATAACATCACGCTTTTTATCCCCGAAAAGGGGTAGGCAGAGGTGCACATTATACCACTGTACAATGTAACACCCACTTTTCACTATTTATGTTATGATTCCCATGTAATAGGGGGTAAGCCCATTGCCATATACCGGACACAATTCCAGACTCCGTGCTAGTACTAAGAATATTTATAAAAACCCAGTAATATTTTGCCCGACCCGGGAATCGAACCCGAGACCCCTTGCCCGGCAGTCGCATTTACGACCACTCGGCTAACGAGGCAGTCGAGTAAAGAAAATTATTAACGTAAATAAAAAAAAATTCCGTTCGTTAGCCACGATAAAACTCGAGAGCCGCTGAATTGATTTTGCAAATTTTGGGGTTGTAATGTCCGAAATATCCAGGAACGGTTTAAACGGTGAGAAAAAATTTGAGGCGGTACGAAGATTGCTGGGCCAGCTTATTAGAAATAAAAATACGAAAATACTGACGTTAAAAACCAAATTTTGATATAACAGCAATTTTAAGTTTTGTATAATTTAGTTTTAATTTTATAATATCTTGATGATAATGACAACGAAACAAAGTTGGTAATTTGAATTTGTGTCCAGAGATTGGGAATGGCCCAACCCTTTGTAAACTAGAAAGAAAAAGCATTTATTCGACAGTAGGCATGTACACAGATACAAAATACATAACATAACATTACACCTTTTACCCCGAAGCGGTAGACAGAGATGCACATTACGACACTAAATGCTACTTTACAATATCACACCAACTTTTCAGGCAGTACACACATAGTAGGCACGTACATAGATACAAATTATAGAAATAAATACAGACACTTATGGACACTGATAATGTGTTGGTATAGATATTCAAAATCAGTCCAGCCATTCCAGAGATTAGCCAGAACAAACATACAGACAGACAAAAATTGTAAAAAATGTTATTTTGGTATATTATGTATTGCATGTATATTCACATGCATGTAGTATAAAGTGCTTATTTTATTATTACAAATAGACATTCCAACTTCATTTATCTATATACTTAAGTCAAACCACTGCCGGGCAGTGGAGTATATCACGCCATTAGAGAAAAATCTCTTCAGGACTTTGAGCTGTGTATAGGACACCACTTCGGTAAAACACAAATAACATACCTTTCTGGTTATTCGACATGGGTACTTTAAGGAACTTGTTGACCAATCCTTGGTCCTTCAATATTGGGAATCTTTCACTGGCTTCCAATAGTTTTACATCATCTTGGGACTTCGTACCAACGGTATTAGTCTGTATTTTAGCTATCTTTTCTGGTTTCACGGGTAATTCTGTAGAATTGTCTAATTTTGGACTTTTTTGTTCCGATGCTGTGAATTTGGTTTTGGATTTTCTTTTGCGTTTCTGTCGAGTGATGGATGGCGAAGTTTTCGTTGAGTCGTCCATTCTGTGGAGGTTTAAAATGTGAATCAATTTAATTTTAATGGTTGTGTGTCCTTCTACACGATTGTAGAGATAGAATTAGATGTCTAAGACGACTTTTATATATAGCAATAATAATTACTGTAATCTTAGGTTTCTATGTTATAATTTTATTTTATTGTGCTATAACCTCCATTAGTTCACATGTTTTTGTTTACATATTTTAAGGTTATATTTATATTGTTATCAATTTTGAATTAAAATCAGAATTAAACTGATGAAAATAATAATAGCAACCATCTCTAAACAATAAAACAAAAGATTTTACATGAAATGTTAAAATCTAGCGTGCTTTTCTGATTCTACAACACGTGCGTAATATTTTATAGATAAAGATTATTATCTTAATATTATGTACGTACGGACCTTGTAGAATATTAGGTACACTTTATAACTGATTAAATGTAAATCGGTTTCCAATTATTTCATTGTAGTTCTTACGAAAACTAAACTTGTGAATTTTACACTGACTGACATTAATTTGTTTTGTTTTGACAGTTCAATCAAATTTAGCCGGATGGATGACAGTTGGGTTGGAGAATGTCAGAAGTTTTCTGTCAATTTAATTTCGTTTTGAAACAGGTATAACTTTGGGCAGTAGTTCAGAAGTTCATCTTTAACATCACGCTTTTTACTTTAAAGTGATAAGTAGAGGTGAATCTTAAAAAGGGAATAAAATTATTGTTATTTCTATTGTAGGTATACAATTCTAAACTAGGCGCGTGAAAATAAAATAAACCTTCACCGAGTCCTTGCTTGACAAGTTCAGCGTATGGTTAATTTTATAAAATAAGAATAATTGGTGATTAATGCTCATTCCTTCTCCGTGTGAATAGAGGTCTTTGCTCAGCAATGGGCTGGTACTCTGACGATAATGAAAATGATGACAATTATCAAGTTTCAATTTATGCTCTTCATGACGAAGCAACTTCTTAACTTTTAATGATTGAATAATAAGTATAATATTGTATCCGGATTATGTTTCTGTTTTTTTTTTTTTTTAAACTTTGCCTATGATTAGCACTAGGATTTTCTCCTGTGTCGTGAGTGCGTTTACAAACAAACAAGTTCACATACACATGACACCCAGACCCGAACAACAATCTGTGCATCCCACAAAGAGTTGTTCCGTACGAGAACCGAACCCGCGACACGTTGCGTGGCAGCCAGTTTTCCAGCCACCGCGCCAACCGTGCCATCAAAGTTCTTAATCCGTTCAGTTGCGTTCCTTAAAGAATTACTAGGTACTTGGGACTCACATTATTGCTACGCAAGATACAAAAGATACAAGTAGATAAACATAGTGAGGAAACCTGGGCTTATAATTTCTAATTATAACTTTGAAATCACCAACCCGCTTTGAGCAAGCGTGGTGATTAATGCTCAAACCTTCTCCGTGTGAGAAGAGGCTTTCAGCAGTGGGTGTTTATAGGCTGTTAATGATGATGATGGTGAAGATACAAGCATCTGTCTTGCAATCGTCAATTGACGAAAACGTGCAAATGACGTGCGGCTTATTTACCCTCCAACTATTGAACTTTATCCAGGTTGGCGCAGTACCCTGGGTGGGTACCTAAATAGCTGCTGCGCAACGGATCCCGTGTTAAATTCCAGCATGGACTAATTCTTTGTCCCCCCTATAAATATTGTTATTCCTGGGTATGATATGAGTATCTACAATCTATCTACATGACATTATATTAGTTTATATACATGTAAACTCACCCATGACATGACACAGTTATACACCTTCACATGTCTTGGCTCATAGCGTTTTTTTTTAAGAACAGGAGGGATCCGTCTGCGCTTTTAGTAGATGGATCAATAGTTAGTGATCAGCGGTGCACATGGACGCCCACAAAAACCAGCACAATTATATACAAGTGTGTTGGCACCTTTTTGGTGGAAACGCAACGCAAGCTTTGCTTCACGTCGGTTTTTTTATGGCATAAACTAATAAACGAGGAGACGGATCACCTGATGGTAAGCAATCGACGTCGCCCATGGACACCTGGAACAATTGCGTTACTGACCTTTTGGGAATTGGAGTATGAGGATTGGGGGGATTTGGGAAACTGGGGAAGGGGGGTCATTGGGCCTCCGGTAACCTCACTCACACGACGAAACACAATGCAAGCGTTGCTTAACGTCGGTTTTCTGTGAGGCCTTCATATCACTCCGGTCAGTCGATTCATTCGTGGCCAAGCATGGCTCTTCTATCCAGAAACGAAGCTATGTATCAACCAGTTACTTAACACACATTTCCAATAAAAACTGTTATGTTTTATTTTTATGAATATTAATAATAGTCGTGACTCATTCGAGTTTGAATATTTAAGATAAATCGAATGTTATGTGGTTGGCTGATGACAAAAATGCGATGAAAGTTGTCTATGACTCATGACTAAGCGTGGTAACGAGAACTATTGATTACGTTTCATTTTGGTGGTAATTAGTTAAGTAATATCCTTATGACTTCTGACTCATATGTTACAGGACTTATGACCCAAATAAGAACAATGGATATCAGGTGCATTTTTAATTTTCTTTCAACTTCACCACCTATCCTATTCTTCACCACCTATTTCTATGTTTTTTTATGGGATAGAGCAGTGAAAAAGTAGACGGATCACCTGATGGTAGGGCACTGGCGCTGCCAATAGACACCCGAAACGGCAGGAGAATGACCAGTGCGTTGCCGGCCTTTTGGGGTTAGGTATTAGCTGATTGGAGATTTGGGGATCTCTTGGGAGGAATTGGTCCTCTTGTAACAAGATTCTTATTTAGTAGGTACCTATTTTTTTAAAAAAGATGTTCTAATGAAAAGTACTACGGTTTTCTTTTTCTTGAACATTTGTTTGTGATTGTGATGAACGTTAATCATTCTCTATCTCGTTGGTTAAGTGGTTGAAATCACGACTATTGATATGGTAACGGTTTTTTTTAAGGGGGGAAAATCATCGAATGACTGCTCCCGCCTGGGTGAGGCGGAAGGGAGTGTCAGACTCATACTGACTAAAAACCACCCCGTTCCTTCTACTGCACGTCGAGTTACCTGTTAGGTTCTCCGCGACATGGTAACGGTTAACAAGCAGGTCTTGATTGGTTTCCCAAATATTTTCAAATTTAGTCTCAAAAGCAGGGATGTTATGGATATGAAATTTCGGATACGGATTGGATACGGATATAGAAATGATTATTATACTGGATACGGTTACGGATATGAAATTATTTCGGATTATCCGTTAGTTTCGGATAATTTCGGTTACGGATATTAAAAATTTTAAGGAATTCCAAAAGTAAAATACAAATAGCTAATATAATTGTTTCGTTTATACGTCACGCCGCTATCCGATAGTATCCGAAACTTTTATTTCGGATTCGGTTACGGTTACGGATATTTTTTTATATCGGATATCCGATAGTTTCGGTTACGGTTACGGAGCTCCGTAACATCCCTGCTCAAAAGATTGAAAATAAGGTCTATAATAAAGGTTCGTGAGAGAGGACACCGGTGTCTTCTTGACTTTTACACCTACTTCAAGAGTCCTTGTTATCTTGTGACTCAGTGATGGAACCTGAGACCCATGATAAGTCTATACATTCTATGTTTTCGGAGTCGCGGAGAACCTAACGGGTAACCGGGGCTCCGGCTCGACGTGCAGGAGAAGGAACGGGGTGGTTTTTAGTCAGTAAGAGACTGACACTCCCTCCCGCCTCACCCAGGCGGGAGCAGTCATTCGATGATTTTCCCCCCTTAAAAAAGAAAAAAGACAATCAATGCTTACCCGCCTTACTAACTTCAAGTTACATAGGAAGCTATCAACATTAATTCAGCCAGAATGTTGTTACCAGTTATAAAAATTTTAAACATTACCACATTATGTAGTAATTAATTATTTAAACACACTATTCAGGGGCAAATACCTAAACAATAATGTTCGCAGCATGCAGCCATTCGATGATTTCCCCCCTTAAAAAAAAACATTCTATGTTTATATGAAACTTGGCTCAGAGATAGATTATGGTACCAACATGTGTGAGTCCTGGCAGCCCTTACCTACGGATCCGAGACTTGGGTGTCAACAAAAGCTATCCTCCAGAGACTAATTGCCACTCAAAGGGCCATAGAACGAAGGCTTATAGGAGTAACTTTGATGGACAACTTCACTAACAAAGCAAGGTATCAGATATAGTCAAACAAACAGCCATGCTGAAGTGGCAATGGGCGGGACATGTAGCCCGCAAACGCGTGGTGCAGGAATCTGCTGGAGTGGAGACCGTGGGAACACAAACGTCCTGTTGGTAGACCACAGATGAGATGGAAAGATGACATCAAGGAGGTGGCGAGACAAAATTTGATACTAACAGGCCAAAATAGAACTAAGTGGAAAGATTTGAAGCGGGCCTAGACCAAATTGATTGTCGCGGAGAACCTAACGGGTAACCGGGGCTCCGGCTCGACGTGCAGGAGAAAGAACGGGGTGGTTTTTAGTCAGTAAGAGTCTGACACTCCCTCTCGCCTCACCCAGGTGGGAGCAGTCATTCGATGATTTTCCCCCTTAAAAAAAAACAAAATTGATTGAAAAAGGCTAGATGATGATGAGTTACATGGCCTACTTAAGCTACTTTTTATCCACGCTTCTGGCTAGCAGAAATGTATAAGTAATAATGTTCTTACAACATGTTTTAATGAGGTAAGTGTAACAAAAAGAGGTCTCATACCGCGGTGTTATCTTGATGGCTGGTACCAGCGCCCGACTGCGTCATCTGACGGAAAAAGGTCAAGTGAAATGGCTTTATTATTGTTACTGATTTGTTAAGGATTCCGTACATAACATACATAATTGGGTACGTTCCAAAATAATATATTTTTCAAAAATAAATTATTTCGATTCGACTGTTCAATACACTAAAATATTAAAAAAATAATCACAATTTCATTAATTGATTTTAATATGACC